ATTTTTACCTTGATTATCCAAAAATTAATTTATTTATTTTATATATATATTAATTTATTTATTTAAATATATTTATTTTAATTTTAATTAATGAAGATTATTATTCTTTTATCTAATTTGTTTTATTGTATTTAATTCAATTTCTTCCTTAATTTGCATTTTATTTTAAATTGACTTATTTCATTTAAATTTTAGATTTTTGCAATTATAATAAATATATTTTTTTATTGCTGCTTCTATTTTATTGTATTGAATTTTTTATTATTTCCTTTATTTTTTTCGTTCAAATGTATTTACATTATTTTAAATTAACTTAATTTAGTTTAATTAAGCTTACTTTAAGTTAACTTTTTTATTTCAATTTTTTTCGTTTTGTTTTCAATTTACATTTTTTGTTTAAATCAATTTTATATTCTTTGATATAATTAATTTAATTTCCTTTTTTTCTATTTTATGTTAGTTATATTTTAAAATTTTTACTACCCTGTAATTATTTTTTGTTTAATTTTTTTTGTTTCTATTATTTAATTTACTTTAACGTAGTTAAGTTATACTTTATTCACTTAATATTATATTATTATATTTTTTTTTCATTTTATTTTATTTTCTAATTTTATCTCACTTTATATTTTTGTTTAATTTATTTTTTACATTATTTAACTTCAGCTAATTCATAATTGCTTTTGCGACCATAACATTAATTTTTTTTATAAGTATTAAGGAAACTGAAGGCCGGGTTTGTTTGTATGAAATGACAAAAATTAGTTAAAGTTATAAAAAAATATTTTATTTTTATCAACTTTAATTAAATTTTATTTAATTTCATTTTTTTATATGCATTATTTATATTATTTTATTTTAAATATTATAGTTTATTTTATTTTATGTTGTTTTAATTTTTTTTCATTATTTAATTTTTTTTTAGTATTTTTTAATATCATTTTAAAATATTTTTTTTTTTCATTTCATTTGAAACTGTTATTTCATTTCATTTTGTTTTATTTTATTTTTTTTTGTTTTGTTTTATTATACTTTATTTTCGTTAATTTAGTTTTATTTAGGTGATTTTATATTTCTTGATTTTAAAATAGCTCTTTAATGTTATTTGAATTTCATTTTTTTATATTATTTGATTTTAATACATTTTATTTTTTAATTTAATTGTTATATTTATTTTTAAGTTTAACTAATTTTTTATAATTATATTTTTTGTATTTCTTTTTATGATATTTTATTTTATTTTGTTTTTTTTATTGTATTTGATTTTTTTATTTGGCTTTATTTTATTTTACTTTATTTGATTTTAATTTAATTTAATATTTTGTTTTATTTTATTTAACTATATTTTCAATATTTCTTTTCTATTTCCTTTCATTTGTTTTACAATTTTTGATTTTAGTTTAGGTTAATTAATTTAATTTCATTTTATTTTGGTTTGTTTTAATTTATTTTATTTGAGAGTCTTTTATTTTTTTGTTTTATTTTTTTGCCTTATTTTATTTTACTTTATTTTCATTATTTTCTTTGCCTTTATTAGTGTTTTAATTTTTGAACTTAGTTTAGCTTATTTAATTTTAAATTATTATTAATTTTATTTAATTTTTTTAAATTATATATATATATATTAAATTTAATTTTACTTTATTTAATTTTTTGTTTCATTTTTTTATTATTTCGTTTTTTTTATAAATTTAAATTAATTTTCTTTATGTTCTTTTAATTTATATAAGTTTCAAAATTTTTATTACAGTTAATTTCGACCAATTTTAATTATTTTAATATTATTTAATTTAGTGTAATTTTTTTTAATCTAATTTAATCTATATTTTTAAACTTTAGTTAAATTTATTTTATTTTATTTTATTTTATTTTATTTTTCGCGCACATAATACCGAACTACCAACATATATGAAGGAAAAAAATAATACAATGGTGAAAATAAATAGATAGATAGTTTTTTCTATCTAGGTACCAGCATCAAAAACAATGCAAGCCTTGAAATCCAACACATATCACATTTACGAACTTAAGCTTTTTTGGATTGAGTATGCAAGCGTAGGAATAGCTAAGCAAACTCTCAACGAACCAAGAGCAAACTGCCCATGTTTCCTGCTCTGCTATATAGCCGAAGACAATATCCAATGTTTTACGCCCAAATATTCTCACAGTGAATCTTTTTAGCAGCAAAGCTAAATATACATATGCCAATATGCACTTAATATACATACAGTCATCATGCATCTCTGCGTCTATCTGCCCGCCAAGTCCAACTAAAGTATTCAGCACTTAAAGCCATGAAGGTGAAATTGGTGCCACACAAGCAAAGTGTTGTAGGCAATCCCAAGAAGGCTTGCAGGCAGCAATAAACCTGCCACTGGAATACATCAAATGCCATTTCCGCTAAATACGTAAATAAATAAATAAACAAGAATTGCGTAAAATATTTACATTGTGGCGAAATTACTACTCAACAAGTTGCATACATACACGTGGATCTTGGCGTGTTGATGAGAAGCCCTAAGGGTTTGGCTTTTCCTTCATTGACTGCGTTTTGAGCTTTCGAGTTGAGTGCAGATGCATTTTTAATACTTTGCACAGCATATCCTTTTGGATTAAGCTTAAGGCTGGGGACTTCATTATTTTAACTAGTGGCGTTTAAATAAAGATTTCACTGTCATAAAAAGAAGTTGCGAACATGAACTTTCAATATCTAAATGAGTTCTTACCAAACAAAGTGTTTATAATAGAGCTAAATGCAAAAGAGTAGGAGAAAGAAAACCTCCCGTGGCAGAGTGACCCAGAAATATTATAAGGAAATACATGCTTACCTCTTACCTTTAGAACCAAGAGCTTAATTTTCGAGCAGTAATGGGGGGTTCATTGCCAGAGAGCGAGCCATAAAAGGATAACCATAGAGCTTTCGTACTCGGAGCTTTAAAAAATCTTTAGCTTGCTAACCGTTCACAATTAGAAAAAAAGTAACCTTATAATGCACAGTAGATACTGACTCACTCCGAGCCTGTAGGAGCAAAGGGTATAGGAATATATTTTATTAACAGGCGAGGCCAATAAATGTTCATGTATGTTACACACGTTTAAAAATATTCTTCTTCTAAACTATAAAAACGCATGAGACCACCTCACATTCTTCTAACCTTGATTCAGTAAAAAAAGTGATTCTTCTTCTGAAATGAATACTCAAAGGAATATGGAATAAAATCTGCCTTCATTATTTGATGTTCAGCTCGTAGAAGTGACTGAAGTTTCACTGGGCCATCGTTAGGCCCATGGTGACCAGAAGTGAAAACCTCTAAGAACGGAAAATATAGACTAGAATTCTATGCCAATGCTCTCTGGCTTATGATAAGTTTAAAATGTGACTAAGAAGTTATTACTATTTACTTGCATACACCAAGACCCGTCAGATTGAGTTTCACTCGCAGCCGAGTATTAGCATATTTCATTGGAAGGGAAGACGGCGAAAACTTTGCACTGTTCAATAATTTATGAGAAGGGCGGTCAGCTATTTCCGGGTCACTGTCGAGAGTTGGAAATCCAAATGTACATATACATTCACACAAATACACACACTCATACATGCCATACCAGGAGCAGCATAAGTTGGTAAGCAGATTTATGCGCCAAGTCAACATGATAATTTTCAACGCCCGCGGTAAGTTGGCAGCTAACTGTGTCACCAGTGTTCAAATCGACGACACGACGCTCATAAAGCACATACGTACGAGTGGAGCAATGTACAGAGCGATATGTCGCCACCATAGCTGCTGCCGCAAAGTCAAAGCGACAGCGAGGCAATTCAACATGAAGCAAATGCAAACAAAAGGAAATTGTGGGTTTTGAATTTATTGAATTTACCCGATAGCAGGAAATTATTTGTCATTGTGTATGCACCAGACACTTACACATACACAAACGCGCATATCTTCATACAGCCACACACATATCCTTTTAGGCTGACATATTGGTATGTTTGTATGACTTCACTTATTGGACTGGCCTTGCCGGATTCGGAACTAAGCTTTGCTCATCCACCTTTTTCCCAGCCGTCCTGCTCCCTCAGATCCGTTGCTTCATCTTTCATGTCTCTACTTTCCTCGAGCATTGTTCGCAAACAAAGAAAACTATTTTCACAAGAATTTATCGCTTAAGTTGCCCCAACGTTGCTTTGGCGTTTGTTTTTGTAATTTTTTGCTCTTGTTTTTTTTTTTTTTTTGTTTGCCCATAGCCACACCGATTTGTGGCTTGCTGTGTCATATGATCATTTAAATTACGGCAATGCGGGGAATATCGAAATAAAGTGGAAAGTGTGGGTTGACAAATTTTAGTGCAAAAGAGGAGAGAGGGGGGGGGGGGATTTATTCCCTAAAACGTAAATACCGCAGTGAAAGCGAAAGATGATCCAATAGGCAGAGAAATAATTTTGCGGTAGATTCTAATAAAGATATTTATTTGCTGAAATATTGATTTACATTTTTCCGTCGATATTTACCGTGTGCGCTTTGCCATTTTGATTGTATTTTTAAATTTATTCTTATTTGGCTAGTTTAATTTTGTGTATGTAAGTATTTAGCATTAATTTAATATTTATTGTAGTTTTTAGGATTTGTACTACTGAAATTACGAAATAAATTAGAACAAAGCAAATAAAATTTAAATACAAAAATAAATATGAAATAAAAATAAAATAAAATAAAATAAAATAAAATAAAATAAAATAAAATAAAATAAAATAAAATAAAATTAAAGGCAATAAAATAAAAATAATATTAAAATAAATTAAAGTAAAGCAAAACAATATTGAATTATATAAAATATAAAAATAAAATAATTAGAAATTTAATAAACAAATCAAAATAAAATAAAATATCAGAATTTTAATTTAAAGAATAAAATAGGATACATTTTTGGAGCAAAGGTAGTTGAAATTTTAGATAGGTGATTGAAAGCAACAAATATATCTAACTGATACAAATAGTTACCTTCTGGTGGTGATAAGGATTGGGCGTGAAATAAGTGCATTCAGGTTAAGGAAGTCGTCTCTTATCTCCAGTCTATGAAATATATAAAAGATTTTAAACTTTTTAAACTGTTAATAACATATCCATATTCATATCTATATGTTTAGTATGAGACTGATTAGAAAACTGAAATAAAATTTAATAAAAGTAAAAATGCAATTACGTTTCCCAATGAAAACATTTAAATGTCTGATTTCTCTATGGTCGGATAATGAAGTTCTAAATTTTTTGAAAAATTTAGTACAAAGAAATATAGTTCTTTTTTGCGAGTTTCGCTGACGGGTTTTCTGCAGAATCGGCGTTTCATTTATTAAATAACAGCCTGGCTTCATCCGAATGTATTTGTCAGTGCATGTTTTATTTCTATTTTATTTTATTTTTAATTTTCATTTTCCTCTTTGCCAACAAATTCAATCACTTTTTGTAATTTTCACTATTAATTTTTAAGTCTTTGGCAAATTTTCTTACAAAAACGGAAAACTATTTTTGCGCAGTGCTTGCTGTCGTTATCGACGCTGCTGACGCTGCTGCCGATGATAACCGCAACGAGATGTCATTTTCACTGACTTAGATCCAAAGCCTCAACGAACTTTAATAAATCATAATGGCGTGGGAAAAACTGATTGCCAAGGCGTTGGAATCGGTTAGAAAAGCGGAAGTGTGACGAAAAACTGTAGAATTGAGGTGGGAAGAAAAGTCTCTGCTCGTGAGCGGCGGAACTGTGTTTCACGCAAACTGACAAACAGCCACGCCGAAAAGGCACAAATCATTCGCACTTTAGCGCTTGCACACTTCCGTTATGCGCTATCGCCAGCAAGCCACACACACACACACACACACGCACGCACACACACACGAATACTCATTCTTCTCTTACTAAAATATAGTTATTATTTTTTTTGTTATTTTTTTGTTTTTTTTTTTTTGGTACCAAAAGTTATGTGGCAAAAACAAATCATCAGTAGTAAAAACTGCTGGGGAAAATGGAAAATGAAGCAGAGCGCCAGCACATTCATCATATACTTCGAGTCATCCATCATGGCTTAAATATTTCACATATCAGAAAAGTTCAAAGTACGCGACTTCAAAAATAAAATACGAAAAATACGCACACGCACACATAAACATGAACACATACACACACACAGAGAGAGAGAGAGAGAGAGAGAGGGAGGGAAGAAAAATGAGAAGCAGCGTGAACCAAAAATAATTGATGTGGGGGGAAGAGGCGATAAACGGAAAGTCGCGTTACATTGAAACGGATTTGCAACACCACCATTCACTGACGCCTACAACCAAACCGAACAGACAGACCAAACCAAATTTCACCGAACTGCTGAGTTGCTGGTGTCCCAGTAGGGCCACTTTGACAGCTGTAAAGCGCTCATGCGTGTAAAATATTTTCAAAAGTTATAATGCTTCATATGGCGACCGAGCCGGTCGTGAGGCTGCCTTTGAAAGCTGTTGAATTGAGCTGTTTCAATTGATTTTAAACTTGTTCAATCCGTTCCACTTCTCCGATTGATGTACTATGGGCTCGATGACTTGTACAAGTGGTGAAATTTGTATAAAGAATTATAAGAATTATATAGAATTATTACATTTTTGGCATATCCCTTGGGAGTGTGGACCTCTAACGTGCGTTAGGTCTCGTTGGCAGATGGTAATATTTATATATTATGTATTAAAAAGTAAAAAATCTTATGTAAGAAATATGGTTCAAAAAGCTTGTGAAGAATAATGTTTTAGTTGAGTCTCTCAAATGTGAAGTGAATAAAGTTACAATGAAACTGGTGGCATCGCAAAACGTGAAGGAGGGATCGAGAGATTGCAACGTCACATGAGTTGGTTAAAAATATAAAGTTGCGACTTGAGCGAAAACGCCAGCGAAGTGCCAATCAAAAGACGAAAGAATTCAAAGTATCTGACCATAGCATCTCTGGCATACTGGTAAATGATCTTAAGGTCAAGTCTTATAGGATTCAAAAGGATCATTACCTCACAGTCAAGCAGCAACAAGTCAGACTTGAGAGAGCAAGGGAGTTGCTTCGCTTAGCCGAATGAAAATTTTAAAGTTCAGCAATCTGTAAATTCTTAAGCGATAGGATTTACTTGCTCGATCATCCATCCATCACTAGAGTCATCGATCGGCCACCAGGATGCAGATAATGGCTTGGGCTGCTGTAATCGCATATGGACGCCCTCCAATCGTTTTCATCGAGCCTGACTTCAGAAAAGAATTCTGGAGGTTGCTGTGAAGCCGTTGATAGATAAACAATTCGGACACAGACCATTGACTTTTCCACCCTGGAAATTATTTAAATCTTTTTGGTTGTAAATTTTCTTAAATATACTCAAAAGTTCTATTGCGAAGAATACGTTTTCTCATTTCATGGATAGCCTTTTTTCGGATTTATGATGCGGTGAATATTGATTCGGATTCATTTTTGCTTTTCGCAATTTTTCACTAAAAGCTTTGGACAAGTATTTCTAGAGTTACGTTGAGAAGAAGTTGTAAAAAATAATGTTTAATTTGAAAGCTAAAAAGTTCGCCTTGTCGTATGAGCAATATTTAGTAATCAAGGCACCAACTTTTGACTAAATGTCGCGCATACGACATGGTGAGCATTTTATTTTTAAGTACAGAATACTTAAATTAAAATTAAATAATAAAATACGAAAAACGAGAGCATAAAATTATAAATTTAATTAAAGTAACTTTGCTCAATTTTATGGCATTCGTTTACTCGAGGGTGGTAAAAACACAAAGATAGTTGAAAATTTTACTCTCATTTACTTGAATGGACTTGAAAGCAGATAAAAGCCATATGATAATAGTGGGTTAGCTTTTTGGCTCTAGAACTATATTTTGGTTAGACAATGTAAATTGAACCTGCGAAAACCATGAGGAAATCATTTTTATCTTCTTCTACGCGTTCCTCACCAATTTTATTACCATAGACGTTCTGACAAATCACTGCATGAATTTCACCTCAACCAAGCCCTTGGCACCACATTCTGCTTTACTATGCAGAGGCACGGATCATGACTACATCTGTTGAGTCGACGTTAGGAGTTTATGAGAGAAATATTTTGCGTAAGATTTATGGTTCTCTATGAGTAGGTCACAGCGAATACCGCATGCCATAGATGAGGTATTGCAGCTTTGAAAGTTTTCAATCCAGTATCTGACGTTGTAAGCAAAGGAGGAAGAAGATCAGCACTGGGTTGGAAAAATCGAGCTGAGAAGCACATAACTCCAACCAAGAGATATCAACCAAGAGAAAGAAGAAACAGTGCATTCGGCTATAATCGCAAGTTAATAATAAAAAGAAGGCTTTTTATCGAATCGAATGCATTAGTAAATTAATCAACTAAACATTTTGTGAAAAGAAAGTTACAAAATTTACAAGGCGAATAGTTTAAGTAAACCGAACTCTGAATACGAGATCTATTTCCATCATATTAATCAAAGCAAAAAGCTACTTTTATATTTAAAATGTATCGAGGTACAGACAATATTTTCTTCCATTTTCCGGTGTAAACAAATTAAATTTACTCCAATAAAAAAGAGTAATTCTTATATACTTTTACATATGTGGGCAGCCTAAATATCCGAGTGGCTAACATTGCGTTAAAGCTTAGAAAGCTAAAGCTTAAGCCATGGTTCAAGAAATTAAAAAAAAAAAAAAATAATAATAATAATAATAAAAAATAAAAAAAAGTAAATAAAATTAAAATTTCTAATCGTTTAGATCCTCTCGTATCAAGGAAAATCAAGCCCTATGAGTGTTTTACAGAAGTGAGAGAAAAATAAAAAAAGAAGAAAAATTCGCAAAAATCCATCAAAAATTCATCAGCCGTTCGGAGTAGGCTTCAAATAAGTTGTAGGTCTTTCCGTTCATTTTTAAACTAGGACCACCCATAAGACAAGTTCATGGAAATATTCGCCCGAAAATTGCTTCAGCGGGCAAGAACTGCCAAATTTTTAAATTCAATTCAATTTATTCGTTCAATGATTTACAAGTCTACAGACTAGAAGTACAAATTAAATAAAAACTAAAAACTTTAGATATATACTAAAAAAAAAGCATTAAGGATGGAGCCGAAACGAGAGCACAAAATCAAGATCCAGTCTTCTAGAGGTTAGAGATAGTTGGCTTTAATTACATATAAGTTGAATGAGTAATGAGAGCACGAAGTTTTATGATGAACATTAAGCTGATTTGCTCAAGCAGCTCTGGACAGTCCACTCAGCCCTTGATGATGTCATAAATGAGTAATAGTGGCTGGCTGCATCGTCGAAGGCAAAGGGATTTCAGATTTACAAGCATACATTGTAAATATATTCTTCTTACTTAAACGGATACTAAAAGGAATTGATGTGAATTATCGAAATCGCACCTGGCAGTTTTTTGCTATAATCATGGTAACTAGCGTCTTTTCCCCCTTTTCGTATATATAATAATTTAGAGAAAAAAAAAAAAAAAAAAATTGATATATTCACCTGAGCTTTCATTCTATTTTCTCGACATATGCATTTAAGTGACCAGCGGGAAGTATTAAATTTTCATGTATGTGATTGTTATTGCTGCCAAATTAAGACACTTTTGGTTTACATAGATTTAATTTTGCTTAAAATTTAAAATTTGAAAATTCTTACGTAGAAATTTTTACTAAAAGAGTTCTATTAGTCGTCTTCACATTTAGCCGTTCCGATAAGCGCCTGAGCCACAGTACAGTATGATGGATTCAGGGTGGCGTATATATGTATATAACTATTTGTATTTAACAAAAATGATACCCCTTTACAATAAATAAGTGCTTTTTTACAAAAAAGTTCAGCACACATACACACACATTTAATAGAAGTAGGCTTACATGAATTTGTGTTTCATTTATATTTACATACGTCACGTATATTTTCTGCTTTTATATATGTATATGTGCACACATATACACATCAATAACTACGTACATATGACAAATGTTATTCTCCACTACATTCATTTTTTTCCTACACAAATATATAT